TCTTTCTTGAATCTGCGGCGTTGGATGACTCTCTTCTGGGTGAGGAACTGACGCTTCGACGGTGCGGGTCGGGGGGGTGGTATGGGTTATGTCCCCCGATGCTGATTCCTTTCCGGCAATGTTCTTAGAAAGAAGTACGGGTTGTCTGTGTACGCTGCTGGGCGATGATCTTATAAGCGTCGATCGCTCTGATGTTGACGCGTTCGTATTCGTCGTGCTTGTGGATTCACTCGGCGTATTCATACTCCAATTCGTCGTACTGGTACCCGTAGTAGTGTTACTTTCACTCGTAGTCTTCGACTGCACTGATTTTGATCTTGTATTTGAAGGCATCTTACTAGTTTTTCCTAAAAACCGATCCGGCTCGAAGGACCAATGTTGATGCTCGTATGTCAGAATGTTAGTAATGGAGCGGGTTATGCTGGCGGGATGTTAACTGGAGAGCATGCAGTAGCAGTTAGATGAGCAATAAATAACACTTCTTCAGAGTTTCTTCTAATTTATTTGCTTGATGCTTTATTCTTACATTGCCGGATTTGGGATGTTTTACCACAAAAAACGCCTCTTTTTTGTAGGCAGCTGTGACCAATCAGAATTAATAGAATTTGCACACGGCACTAATGAATTTGCACACGGCACTAATGATTCCCGTCGACCAATCAGAACGCAGAACGACCTTTTCTAAAAGAAATTTACAAATTTCTTTAATATGTGTGGTAAAACATACCTTACAATATTTTTATACATTCCTGACAATAGAGATAACTTATCTTTACTATTTCGAACATTAAACATTCATAAAACTTATAATTTATGCTTGTAAAAAATAAAAATAGTGGCGCGGTCTTCCTACGGTTTAGCTCCGAAGTAGCTAAGCTTTTTCCGCTTAACATACAAGTAGCGCCGCCAGGCGGCAGGAATGCACAATGCTTATCATGATAATATTATGCTTAAGATTCTATACAGAATATATTTTAACTTCTTATTAAATTAAAATCTATTTTTATAATGAGAAATTAGATTACAAAAGTGATTAATTGACATATTATCGTTTTAAATTACTACAAAAGAAAAAGAATCGAACAAAACATTAAATTTACACTTAAATGTTAATATCTCTAATACAGCTCTTTAAAATTATAATAAGAGAAAGTTCTAATAAGTAACTAAAATCATATTTCGTTTCCAACATTCTAATTAAACCTAAATAAGCAATTAGATTCATATTTTCGTTACAGACTTTGTTACTAACTTTCGTTACGTAGTTTTGAAATAAGAATTGAAGTTAATATAAGTAATTAATTCACTTTCTTGGTATTAACGCTATCAGTCTTTACACTTAGTTTTAGATCACAAATAAAAAACAATCGAGATTAAATGTTTAAATTCACTTGTCGTCGCTAACAATCACTTGTACTTTACAAGTAGTCTTTTGTTAAATTATTGAATTTCTTTTGTCGTTTTTTAGGGGTTAACAGATTGATGATAAAATTTATTTACAAATAAAATAGTACTCAGTATTTTTCTCCAGTCGTTGAAACAAAAAGGTATTAAAACCCGATCCACAAGCCGAGCCAAAACAGTGAAGCAAAGAATCAAGTCCGTAAACAATACAGATACGGACTATTCACTCACACACATTGATATATACTTCGGATGCTCGGGCGCAGCGTGACTGCAATAATTTCTTCAAATACCTATTCCTCAATTCCCGCGCACTACGCTCCAAAATTGTTACCTATTTTGGTAGGGTTGTCACAATATGTAAAGATAAATTAAACAAAACATTTGTTAAATAGTTTTACTACTCAGTATGACAGAACACTTTACAAATGAAATTATTTTAAATAATTTATTATTTCTTTTAATGGTGTGGTAAATTCTGAACCTAACATAAAGTTTACCAAAGCTGTTGAGGAGTTCCCTCGTGAGGAGTTTATCTTTTCTGCAGCAGCAGTTTATGGTGAAGATCATGTTGAACAAACAAAATTAAATTTAAATACAAAGTTTCGAGTCCATGCTACTAACCGTTCAAGAGTTCCCTCGTAAGGAAACAATGCTGGCTGCAGCAGCAGTTTATGATAAAAATCGTGTTAAACTATCAAAATTAAACTAACAAACAAAGGTCATTATTAAAAATAGCCTATGAATTAGCACACATGAAACCTTTACAATAAGTACTATTTTTTTTTAATAATTTACATTACATTTATTGCAACAGAATGGACATTTCATAATTTTAAAAACATTTTAAAACGTAATTCACTCCGTCTTATTCTCCGGTGTTATTATTTTTTGGTTTAAATTGAGGTTTTTTAATAAGGCGAAAGTATTGTAGATCATACAGCCAAGTCTTTATGACAGTGCACTTAATAAGAGTTTGGGACAAGGGTTACAAAACTCAGTTTTCTCAGCATTTGATCTATGAATAAGGTTTTTAGTTACAAACGGAATAAAGCGATTGAAAGCGCTGTGTGAAACAAGCAACATCGACACTGACGGTCGATGACTTGACAGATGACAGTGTTTAACATTTGATGATAATGCCACTCACACGGCTCACGCATCCTATGTGTAATTCGTTTGCATTTTCTTAGTATTCTTTTTGTTTTTAGTTTTGTAACGCTTGTCTATATTAAACTCTTGACTGTATGAGTTATAATACCTTCGCCTATTAAACCAAAAATAATAATACTGGGAAATAAGACGAAAGTAAATTACTTTTTAAAATGTTTTCGAAATTATGAAGTGTCCGATCTATTGAAATAATTGTAATGTAAATTAATTAAAAAAACGAGTAATTATTGTAAAGGTTTCATGTGTGTTGATTCATAGGTCATGTTTTACAGTGTGTTTTTATATTGACCGTTATTGATATAATTATAACCTCAAAATCCAAAGGTGTTTTGACTTTTTAGAATTCTCAGAAGTGTCCGTAGTTTGAATTTAGTTTCAATCGAATATATACATTGTTTCAAACACAAAAAGTCAATTCACCTCCCTGTTGGTTCTTAGGCCAACAATGTATGTGTATGTATGCCGAACAATCCTTTTGTGACCCTTCTACTACCCGTTGAAGAGTTCCCTAATGAAGAGACAACCCTGGTTTCAGCACCAGGTTATATCGATCATATTATTCCATTGTCACTGAAGTTACGTTATACAAAATTTCAACTCAATCAGACGTCGGAATGTGGTTCAAATCTTACTTGCAATATGTGAACTTAACACGCATACCTCCACATACCAACCCACCCACATCTGTTTAGCCTACAAATGTTTAGTAAAAGCTTGTAATAACAATAAAAAGGTAAAAACAGACCGCGTAGTACTCTCTTCTTATTAAAAAAGTATCATACAATAAAAAAGGTACTTACTTGAAAAAGTATTAATCAAATATTTACTGATATATTGTACTCCTTGGGATAATTAAAGTATGATATATTTTTATTTTTTCTAGTATTATTCCTACATACAGTACAATAAACAACCAGTACTAATAATACCACGTTTTTACATTAAAATATTCAAACTTGCAACTATTAACAAAACAAACAAACAACGGGCGTCGCACTGACCTTGAGATTGTCCACTGACTGCCAGCGTAACCAGTTTTTTTTCTAGTATCGCCGCGCGTATGCGACAAGCGACTTGTGGTCACGCACACGTGCCCCGCGTGCTTGTAATAGTGCAACTGATTCACCCGGTTGTATGAAGCTTTTTCTCATTATTTTTTTTATCTAATCATGTAATGAAACTATAATAACCTTACAAATTTTATCGCGTTTAATTTTAACTTTTTAATTACCGACATCTCGGCCGCTTCACAACACCCATGAGCATGAGGGGGATGAGGTGATTGACTTGGTGTAGTTTACAAAGGCTACCTTCAATTTTTATATATTAATCTTTGGTTGTATCTACACAGAATGAGCTTACAGTATCTTGAAGTCATGCAGGCTTGGGTTTGGATTTAATTTTATCATTTATGGGAGCTCTTCTCTATTGAAATTAATTTTTTTTTTTTAAATTAAAATAGCCTCGCAAATCATCTTTGGTAGGAATCGTTATCCTTTTTTGAGGATTTGTGGTCTATCAAATCTGATGTATGGTTGGGACGATCCTAAATATGTTGATATATTGTAAACTTACCAGACCGTTGGTACTTCACATCAGTTTTATCTTCTTTTATGAGGGTATTTATAGATCGTTTTCTTTGTTCTATGTAAGATTTATTATATATTTAAAAGTCATTCATAATCAGGCTTGTACATTTCTGCATTTTGTAGGAGAATATTACTCTTAATGGGTTATAAGAACTGACTGACTAATCTACTTTAATAGTTTAATGGCATATAGTATGTTCAAATAGAAGCCTGCTATTAGAGGTAGCGGATCTGTCTATGATTTTTTTGACATATGGTAGTATAGTAGGCTGGCACTTGACTGTGGATAGTTTCTCAGTTAGTGAAATAGACGTTGGACTCAAAAGTTGTCTTGCGATACTTGCTTGTCATACTGGAGCTCGATGACTATGTGTTTACTGTCACAGATCTCTTGCTCGCTGAAACAAAGGTTTTCTCATCATAGCTTACTGTGAAGGATGGTGTTGAGTGAGAGAAAGTGCCTAAAGCGAATTAAACAGTTAAATTATATGCAATAAAATTTGTTAAATAAAATGCATTTGTTAAGAGTGTTTCACAAGCGTAATTGAATGGTGAATTTAGAAGTCATGATTTATCCGAGTTTGCAGTCCACATCTTTAACCATAAGGCTGAACATAAAATAAAGATAGTTATGTTTTTATTAAAAAAAAAAATATTTCGAAGACATGTGAAGTTCGCCAACACGCACTGGGGCAGCGCTGCGGACAATTCCTTGCCCTAAAACCCTCTCAGAAATGAGCGGAGGCCTGTGCCCAGCAGTGGCACGTATATAGGCTGTAACTAACTAACTAATGTTTTTTCATGATGAAGAATAATTTTCCATTGCATCCGCAGAGCACTGGATGAGGTCTCTCGCCGTCGCTTTCCCGTGATGTCGGGCGGCGTAGAGGTGTGGTTCCACGAGGAGTGCGCTGTGTGGGCGGGCGGCGTGGTAGCCGCGGGCGCGCGCGTGTGGGGGCTCGCGGCCGCCGTGTGGGGCGCGCGCGCCGCGCTCTGCGCTGCGTGCGGGCGCGCCGGGGCGGCCGTCGCCTGCGCCGCGCGAGCCTGTCGCGCGCGCGTCCACGCTCCCTGTGCGCCGCACGCCCACTGGTGCCTGCTGCACGACGACTTCCGGGCGCTGTGCCCGCGGCACGCCCCCACACCCTCCCCCTCCCCCGCACCGGCGCCCGCGCCCAACCGGTAATTGTAACCGCGCACCGCACGCACACATGGACGTAGCATGCAACTGAGGTAGTGCGAATGTGTTAGTTACGCACTCATGAATAGTGTTTCAACGTGTCGCTTGTGAATAACGATTCGGTACGTATGATGTAAATGGACAAGTGTAACATCATCTCGGTTTATGTAATTATTATCAAACGGGTTGGTGATAATAAGTAAATGTTGGCTTACGTAGCGCCTTAATAAGCACCAGGAGGAGCTGATTGGCAAATGCAATGCAGTAATGGACAATGGGCCAATGCTCCTTAAATACTACGCTTATACTACATATTATGGAGACGATGGCTGTAACATGCTTTCGATGCATGTATCTTTTTCTATGTGATGTATAAAGTTATGTCAATCGCATGATAAGGTATGGGTCTAGGCACATGAAATTATACAATAATCAACTGTCAGTGTTTAAGGGTTTTATTTTTTGCGTACTCTATATTTAAATTGATTTGAAAGTTTTTAAACAATGGAACATGCGGTGTTTCTGCATATATTATACTTTAAAGTTTTATGCTTTTAAATCACAAAGAGATACCCTGTTATCATGTAATATTTATTTACTATAAGTTTCAACATAGTTTGAATTTTCGTTCACTCATTCTTATTTTTACTTTGTTGTACGTATTACGGCGATATAGTATTTTTTTCTGTGTTGCCATGTATATGTATATATATATATATATATATATATATATATATATATATATATATATATATATATATTTGTTGAGTTGTAACAAAGTATACTCGATTTGCATCTGATTGATGGAATCTCCTGACCAGACCTTCAACGTTACACCTAATATGATGATGAATGAGCCCTTGTATGAACCATAAAATAATTTTCGCTTATTTGTCAAACCTTGATCAAAAATTGCAACCAATGTTAAATTCACATATACTTATGAGGTTAGAAGTGAGAAATTTTCCTAGTATTTTTTTTTAAATTTTGTATCTGGTACTGATTTAGTGGGTTGTAATAAAATAATTAGTAGTATATTCTGATAAATAAGTATTGTAAAATACTTACGGCGTAGGTTTTCTTAAGGGCTCTTTATAAATTTCTAAAACTAAACGTTCAAAAGTGGCGGGTGTTCTGATGCTTAATTAGTTCAGCGGCACCATTGTGGCAAATTTTAACTACTCAGGATTGAATACTTAAAGTTTCCTTGAAGGAACCTAGGGTCACCCTGCTGAATACTTAAAATGTTAATTTTGATACAGACTGTAGGCATCCATTCCATTATCAAATTTAATATCCTACACATGACCTTCGAAAACTCGCAATCTATAAGTTAAACAATATTTTCTTGATATATATATATATATCTGGGATAGGTTTTAAAAATTGATACTTAATTGTAATATAATGTAGGTTGGTTGTAAAAATTAAAAATTGGGCTATAGATGGAGTGACCGTGCAAGAACTATTTGATAATGGTTATTATATTTTAAGAAATCACTACTGCCAGTCAATATGAATTTAATAGAAACTTAATTTCTTTGTTTTTTAAACATACTGTACTTAACTTAAGATTATTAAGGGGAAATATAACCTCAAATGGCTTAGCAAGATCCTCTGTTATACCGAAAATATTGCAGCATTAATTTTGAAATAAATATATGGTAAAGCTTGGAACCGGGCGGCAGGAAACAAGCTTCAGGACGCCGATAGTTTAGGTAATTTCTTTTTACAGTGAAAATATTGGTAATTAAAAAAAAATAAAAAACATAAGCCCTGCTTTATAGTTAGTTCAGTTAGTATGCAAAGTTTCATGTTCTTATTTAAAGTATTTTATGAATAACAGCGGTTTATTGTTCAGTTTGAAGGTAACTTTGGATTTTTTTTCTATTGAGAAAATTTTACGGAATCGTGTTTTTGTCTAACATAGTACTTAACATTAATCCTCAACTTTATTTATCTTGCTAAGCCATTTGAGGTTATATTTCCCCTTAACAATACAATTATCATCATCATTACAGCATATCAAAAGTCCACTGCTAAACACAAACCTCCCCCCATAGATTGTCTCACAGCGGGAATAGTACACGTGGATCGCGGGTAGGCAAACGCAGTTTCATATTATTTTGAGTTGTCATCAGTGCGATGCTGCAGCGTATCAACTGTTTTAGTTCCCTTCTCTAAAAAAATTTAAGCATTTCTAAAATTTTGTTAAATTTATGTTCATTTATGATTTAAAAATTAGATTTATTTATTAAATTAGATTAAAAAATTATCAAACTATTATTAAAGCCCTATTTGTAACAAGTGAAAAATTGCACTTTTTCAGGGGATTTTAATATCCATAACCTTGTCATACTTTGCGTGCTGTGCAGGACTATGGCCATCACACAGCACATTTGAATCTGTATTGCCTTTAAATAATGTATTACGAATTAATGTTACGTAGGGAATGAGGTAATGTAGTAAAATACTTGTAAACATTTTGGAACTAATTTATTCAGCTGCCTATGGCTGAATTTAATGCAACATTACACTTATATGTACAGAGTATACGTATTTTACATATATGTGCTTTTGTGTAAATATCATGAATAATAATAGTGTAAATATTTATTTCTATGCATCAGAACACCATGTAGTTACATGTAAAAGTTGTAATTGTAATCAAGGTATGATATACAGTATTTCATAGAATATTTGTAAATTATTGAGGGTTAATATTGGAAAATATTTGAAAGTTTACAATAAATAGGCATCACTATATTATGTAACTCATTAGTAGTGAATAGCAGTGTAAATTGTGCTGTTTTAGTATATTGTGGACAATCGTAGATTGTGTTTAATGTTAGATAATTTGAAATTTAGAGAGAATAATTGAATTCAATGTTAAAATGTTACCTTGGTACCTTGATTGATGGGATTTTTACACATTTTACCCTTATGTATTACTTCAATATTTTAGAGACATGTGTCAATAGTGAATGATTTATTCATTTTACCCGGGTTGTATCAAAGTATTGATGATTACAATTATATATTTTTAATGTTCCGGATCAAACAATTGATTAATGACCAAAGAGTATAGGTAATATCCAACGACTAACATTATTGAGCAGGTCTCACAAATTACAGAATACTGAAACTTGAAATGATAAATTTGAACAATCTACCGGAATGACCTGGTTCATAATATGAATCAGTACTAGAATGATAGGGTTATAAATGAATGAATGACACATGTCTATATTTTAATATTTCGTTTTATACCAAGAATTTATTGTAAACTTTCTTGTCAATAATAGCTGTCATAACCAACCATATAGTTTACGTTTATTTAAAAAAATACAGTGATATTATTGGTAATAGAAGGTTACACAGTTGTAATAAAATATATTTTATGTAAATCCTACTACGGTTTAGTTTCCATTTTAGAATGAGAACTAGTCTAAACAAATAGCGTTTTGTAAAAAAAATATTGTTTCGGATCTAATGAAATATAAGTGTAGCTACATTACGAGAATTACTGCATTATTGTCACTGGTCAAAATATTTCTAGAATGTACTAATGGCTATTGGTGCCGCGAAATTTACGCTTATATCTTAACTGAATAACTTAAAATCTTTCATGCTAACATTCATTTTAAGTGCAAAATAGATATCTATTTGGCCTTTATATTATAACAACATTGATCGAAATACAGTGTTATAATAAGAACAATCAACAAATCCTTATACTTTGGAAAGAGCCTGTATAAAAATGAAGACTATCGATGATTTGGGGTAACCCATGAAATGTTCAGTCTTATCACAAAACCTGGTATATTGATAGTCTAGTTTTTTTGTTTATTGATAGACTTTGTCACGAAAGAAGTCCCTAAGCCGCGGCGCCGCAGTTATTGCGAAGGACATTTATTTAGTTTCCATTTCCACGGGACTTTATTGAATTTGACTAGTTTAAACCAGTTACTTATTAATGGGTATGTTCCGAAACGTTTTCGGTATACTGCCGAATACAAATGACGTCATCCATTGACACTATATTGTACTGGCGTGCCGCCGCCATATTGCGTCGGATATTCGGCCATAATAAAACAATTTTTAATTATATGTGCGCCGAATGAAGCCTGCCAGAACTTTTTTTTATTTATTGAAATTCAAAAAATTATAGAATAATTTCTCGTATCTCCATTAGGAGGATATAATGATTTTTGGAGCACAAAATGACAAAATAATCGCCAACACTTTTCCAATATGGCGCAAATGTGTGACACTGACGTCATATACTGTCCTATGTTTTGGAACGAATCACCAGTATAGCGTCGATTCATGACGTCATTTGCATTGGACAGTACACTGGTTTCTATTTTGGAACACACGCAATAACTACTATTTGTAATAGGATACATCCTGTCTTATTACGTGGTTTATTGATATTCTCGGGTTAAAAAAACCAGTCGTTCTAAATAAAGAAGTCCCTTAGCGGCGTCGCCACAATCTTTGCGAAGTTTGACATTGACTATCCAATTCGATACTCCACATTTTTAACCGACTTCAAAAAGGACGAGTTACTCAATTTGACTGTTTTTAATGTTTTTAAATTTTTTTTAATTTTACCACTGCTATTTCGCATATTCCCTCCGGACTTCGTGCGTAAAACAGATTCTTGTTTTAAACATCAGACTAATTATACTACTTTTTTAATAAGGTGGTATAAGTTTGCTTGTAATAATTGAAAATTAAAAAAATTGTCAATATTAATTTCCAAAATAAAAGTGCTATGACTAGTTACATTGCAATCAAAAATGAACAATGTGGTTAGGGGCCGTTAGTTTTAAAATAATTTGCAGGCTTATGATAAATGTTGTCTGCATAAAACGGGTTAGAAGGCATTGCAAAGAATAATCATGTACTTTAATTCCAGTGAATAGTGACACAGACTGTATTTAGCAAACGTTAAGGTACAAATTTATAATAGGGAGAATCGTGCCAGTTTAGTGTTTTTT